TTAGGCCCCGGTTCCGGCGAGCAAAGCCTGGTGGGGATTCTCGGATGACTGGGGGCGAGCTTAATTTCAGGCGTGTCAGTAGACCATATCATCAGCCCACGGCCCAGGAAATAAGCCCGGATGCCGACGCCATCCTCCTCATCTGGTTCAGACAGATAGTCAGACAGCTCGACGATATGAAGTTCGACGGGTTCTCCGTAGAGGTAAGACATAAATGTGCTACCATCAGCCGAATCCCAGTTGTACAAGATGGTCTGGAAGACAATCTGGCACAGTGTACATCCGTTGAGGGCCCTTTGTCTCAACCGATCAAGGTCCGGGGCAAATGCCATGCCGGTGCCTGGTATAATGGCACCACCGTCGGCGGTCTCCAATTGCAATCGCTCTGCAAAGCGCGAGCATACGGTGCATAAATCATGTGCTGTCCGCTCCATGGTTGCAGGGCTCTTGATGTTGGGGAGTTGTCAGAGGATGTGGGTGAGGTGCGCTGCCCTGTAGATGAGGATGATGGGCGGGGGGGGGGGGGGGGGGGGGGTGGTATCGCGGGCCTAAACGGTCCACAAGTCATGGAAATCTTACAGCAGTACACAGCAGTACTGTAGACTGTCGTTAGGTTCGCACAAAGCTACAATAGGGAATTGCATTGGTCAAAATCCTTGCTGTTGTGGGTTCCATCCCTGCCTTATCCCGTTCTATTGAATTCCCCATCCAGTTAGATAAGCGTGCCAAGGGGGCGGATTTGAAAGAAGAGGCTCTGTGCAAGACAAACGAGAGTCTACATCTCGCATTATTACAATGTTAACAGCTACTAATCTTCTCGTTCCTGTTTTCCCAGATGGTTGCCTACGCCTGTTTTCCAGCTGCTTTTGATATTCCATCCCCTTTCCGATTGTCTCGCTGTTGTGCGCAAGTGCCAGGAAGTTCATTTCCATATTACAGGCCTTGATCGCAAGTTCTACAACTGAAACACGTATGTAAATGTTAACCAAAACATGAGTGCGGATAAGGCATATTGAAAGTCAGTTTTGGGGCTGGCAGTCTCAATACCACCATGACTCTGTCTATCTGAGTTATTGCTAGAGCCTACAGCTAGACTCGTTCTGTGTGTATGTGGTATAGCTGTTGCCCGGATCATTCCATGCAAGAGTAATCAATCTCTATTTGCTCCTACCCATGGATTTATTTGGGATGTGTACACTAGGAGGATCCAAGCTCATTATCCTAGCATAAGTCCTCAGGTCCCACAAGCCGGGCGAACCAAACAGGCAGTTCGGGTGCCGAGGTTCCTCCACTCAATCAAGCTTAAGCGTGGGCGGAAAACTGGGAAATCACCGATTATGAGTAGACTGGACGGACAGGCTCAACGGCCTTCAAGCCCAGGCCAGTTTGAACAATGAAGCGAGTCCCTTCGGTGGTCTGGGATAGATTGACCGGTTCAAAGCAGCCGCCAACCGACTAGTCATGACTGAGGCATCCAGGGCAAATGGCAAGGTTCATACGGACTATTTAAAGTTATCTACCTTCCAATCGACAGACTAGACATGCCGGTCCAAATCACACCAGACATTTACGATGAAGATCGGCCACACTTTCTGCATTGTTGCCGTCTACATCTCGACGGCAACTGCGGCCGTCAGGGACGTCCATTGCTTTAAACCGACGCCAGCTTCCGTGAGTAAAGCAACAAACAACAAGGGAATCGGGACTGATGTGGTAAATGTGCAGTGGCAAAGCAATTGCGGTGATGCCGACAAGACGGCTTGTAGTGGTCGTTGCAGTTCCACGGTAAGCTGCGCCTAACAAACCTTGAGTTACCACCCCCAGTCGTCCGCCTTACTAACAATCCCAGTGCCAAACAAGGAACTTCCTAGCGATGGCGACTTCAGACGGCAACTGCGATTGCTGGTGCGAGGGTTGACGGCACGGACGACAAAGAATCTTCAGTATAAAATTGCTTTCGAAGAGAATCGCCTTTAGGACCAGAATAACTCATTTTTCTGCATGATGTGGAAGACCATCAGGAGGCCTGTGGAATCTTGGTACCCCGCCGCCACGCTAGATCCACGCATCGTGGCTCTGGAATATTTCTTGTCTGACTTATAAGTTCAAAATAACATCATCATCTTTGTAATCGTTTATTGCGAAATCGTTCCATGCTTTTTCATGGTATTTCTTGCTCGTCTTTGATCGGATTTGGCGAATGACCTGGTGTAATGGTGGCTTCGGGACCGCGAGTCAGGACAAGCAGTCCACGTCAACCACTGTTGCTGCCCTTACGTAGCGGCCACGTTTTGCTGAATTGCAATAAACCACGTGCCGCTTTTTGGCCTGCGTCCAGATGATAGAAGAATCACAGTTTGAAATACGTTTCCATAGAAATTGCCCTGCACCAAGAAAGTTGTGTAAAGGCCGCCCTCACGACTCATGTCAGTCAAGTGGAAATTGGCCACGAACCAGAGGGGGAAAGAAATAGATTGTCGAAAACCTTAAGCCAAAGTCAATAAGGTACATAAGACAGACGCTCTTTTCTCTACTACGATCATTGCCCTCCGCAGATAAGTCGACTTCTTTCCAGCCACGCTACTCATTACTCATCATGCGTATAAACACACTCCTGTCTCTGCTCACAGCAGTACCTATAGCCCAAGTTGCTGCAAAAGACTTCTCAGGGTCATGTTCCGGAATGTCGTATTTCTCCACCAGCATTAAGGCATTCTGCTTCACCGCTGACAATGAATACTCGAATGACTCAAGCCTAGACTTGAGAAGCTGCCTCGCCAATGTCGGAGGCCAAGTTGTCGTAAGTGTCTTCCGCATCATATCTTTCCCGGACATCTCTCCTATTCAAGTAAATGGTTTCGCGTCTGATAACCGATTTGCCGCTATGCCTACAGTGCCGCCCTAGCAAGTAAGTTCAATCACTCTCCGCACCCCGCTCCAATCAAAATTAACAAACCGAAAGTCCGTCCTTCAAGTTCTGTGACTGTGGCCTTGCTGGCGATAAGAAGACACTGAATTGTCGTTGCACTGACGCTTCTGGCACAAAGAAGCCTTCATCTTTGAACTTGGGTAAGACCATGAAAGCAAAGTATGATGGGACCATTCACTAATAAGCTGCTAAGACACTTGTTTGAGTAATACGGACGGCAAATTGACCTGTTGAGTGGAAGCATACGTCAGGACAGTCGCAAACGTGAGCAAGGAGGACCAGGCAACGGCCGTTTAGAGTTTAGAATCTGCCAATAGTTCAATTATGTTTTGGGGTTGACTGGACTCACTGGAGCACGTCTCTTGAGACAAAATGAATGACGGCTAGCTGTAAATCTTCTGCAGTGTTAGCATTGGAGACGGCTTATTACGTGGGTTTGGGTAAGTACTTAGACGTATCCATGCCGGCGGTGCCGTGTGAGGTCAGAATGTGGCTCTTTGGGTCGGAAAGATTTCCGATGCGATTACTTTATCATCAACTTGACAGATCCGTAGTTCCAGCGGCTTGTAAGTCATCTGTCAATGAATGGGGGAGAAGGACCCGAGGACGTCGGGTATGAGTACATATCATCACGCAAACAGATGTTATCTTGGTCCCGCCTACACCTACACGATAGTTGCTTCCAAGTCACTAAATCTGCAAGCCGTATAGTCAACGGTTTTAGAAACGCTAAGTTTATCAATCACTCCGAACTTCTCAGGAGCAAATCCGACAGACTAGAGAGTAATTCATTGTGCGTGATGGACCGCCGAAAGAGCTCGATTACGCCAGTCACTCCTTGCTATGTAGTGTCGCCCCTGGGTGCACAGTGAACGTGATCTTGGTGAATTTTAAACATGTATTTTTACAGAACTTCCTCCTGGTACTATGGCCGATGTTCAGTATTAGGTAGCGGGTGTTGTGCTTGACTCATTTCTGGGTAAATGTGCGCTTTGCCCCAATGATGTCTCCATATATCAAGTTTCGCAGAAGCGAGGGTCGCCCCGGTTGAGACACATACACATGTATAAATTCAGTCCCAGAGCCAGCGCAGTCTTTTCTCTATTTCGAATGCGGATGATAATCACGACTCATCCTACCTTCGCAGCCGAATATCACGTGCGACTCTAGCTTTACCGCTGAAGCCAACTTTTTCATCATCGGCTGTATACTGTCAGTTCTCGTGCGGTAACCTCGTTATTACAATAAAAGCAAAGTTAATCGCGGTTGCTCTTGCGAACGCTGCGTGGGTTCAATTCAAACGCTGGCTGAGTTTGGCCGATAGACTTGCTGGCTAGCTCAACTATGGCAGCATTGTACTCGGCGGTGTTTACAAAGGCTACATCTGTGTGATGTCTAATGGCGCACAGAATCCTTCAGACAACATGTGCTGGCAAGCTTATGGAACACCTCTGCCCGGTTCACCCGGGGTGGTACGTCCTTGCCCGCTGTTCACCCACAAATGCAAACAGACAACGCTAACGCGATGCAGTGCTGTATTTCAAACTCAATCACCAAACAGAGTTTCGATGAAGGCTGTGCCATTAACGGTGGGAAGACTGGGATTCTGAAGGATTGTTGAGGTTTCTCCGTGTAGCTAAATCATATGGTTCGGTAGCTATTTGCCTACTTCGGCAGATATTTACCTAAGTCGGTATGAAGTTGCCCGATCAGGATCGCTCGACGAGTCAGCCTTCATTAGACAGGAGAAGCCTTTGATTTGCAAAGATTGCCCGAAAAGTTCCATTGGCATTATGGGGTTTGTGATATTGCTGGGAGAGTCCGCTCCCCCGATATTTTCACGATTGACGTGTGATGAGTCGAGGCGGAATTGAAAGGATGAACTAATCCAGTCGGGACCAAGCAGCAACTTTCCGGCGACCGCTTCCACGGTTCCCTGACTAATGGAGTATGAATGACAACTGCATCCGCAATATAAATACATCCAAGACGTGCATCTATAGAACGATGCGGTCACTGTGTTTGCGTCTCCACTGCTTGTATACACTCACGACGAATATTGTCCCTCACGATGAAAATTTCTATATTTTCTGCTCTGCTGGTGCTAAGCCTAACTGGCAACGCCATGGGTGCATGCAGAACACGTACTAGACGCTGCGTGAGTATCTGTCTGGTCTCCACACAGGCTTCTGAAGGGTTTGCTAATCGCGCTGTGGTTATCTTAGTCGCCTCAGCTAGTCTGCGATGCCATCTTGAAACCTGGAGCCTTCCCTTGTGCAACGAAAGAACAACCAGACCCTCAGTGTACGCAAGTCGTGGGTGATGGGTACACCGCCGTTCAAGTATGATTTTCTATCAAGCCACCCAAACATTTTTGCCGACATGTATCTTAACTGTTTCGTGTAGTGCGTGTGTTGCGACCGCTGAGTGACATGCCGAGTGAAGCCCTTGAGCTGTATCATGGCCCAGGACGACGTTGGACAAGTTGGTTGCGAAGTACAATACCCAGCTACCGCCGGCGCATGCAGGATGACCATCACCGAGAATGAAGCTATACATGTAAGATCACGTGGGTTCGCAACTTTTAACCATGTATTAGAATTTAGCAACGGATCAAGGTACTTGAAGATAGATTATAGTTGCACCATCATGTAGCTCAACTGGCAACTGTAACCTCTGTAACCCCTCGTCGACGGAACTCCATTTTACATGCCCAGTCTCAAAGCGTTACAAGCGCTCACAAACACTAAGGGTACCTGGGCTTGTTGAATGGATTAAATCAATTTGATGGTCCTCTATTTTCAATCCTTTGGTACTTCCGTTGACCAATTGCACACCCCTCCGCCTCTCGGATCACGGTAAAGAGTCATCACTTAGAGCGGGACTCTACGAGCGTCCGGTTGCCAGCGACACTCAACTTACGAACGAGAGTAGGTTATAGTAGAACGCGCTACCGTCGAATTTCAGCTTGCTTAGACATTTTACAGTCAAGAGAGACGAGATGTCACTGGCTCTTCATTATTGCAACCCCGGCTCAGTTCGGGTCCACGTTCTCGGGTCGGCTACTGCCACTCAAGCTACCTGGAGCGGGGAGCCGGAGGGGGCGAGATACCACCATATGTAAATTACAACTGAAGACGACCATTTACTTTGCTTCGTTCTTTCTCTTTCACCATTTTTCTCAGGTAGCCGCGCAGGCTTAGCTAGCAAGTTCTATTATAGCAGATGCACGTTGGCCTACCTTTCAGCCATACGTAAGATGCGTCTTCCGGTCTGGGTTTCCTTGGCAATGCTGCCAGTTCATGTCATTGGCCTCCAGGAAAACACGTCATATACCAATCCCATCCTTCCAGGATGGCACTCGGATCCCAGTTGCACATTCGTGCCTGAATGGAATGACACGGTCTTCTGCACGACATCAACATTCATGGCCTTCCCTGCAAATCCAGTTTATGCCAGCAAAGACTTTGTCTACTGGAGGCTCGCCAGCAACGCCGTCAACCGAGTGTCTCAATTCCCATTAATTCGAAGCGGAACTCAAGGAAATGGAGGAGGTATGTTCGCCAACACGCTGCGTTACCACAATGGCACCTTCTACTTGATCTCAACCTGGGCCAGTGCAGAGCTAGGAGGGCCCAGATTCGTCATGTTCACCACCACGAATCCGTACGACGACCTTGCCTGGTCTAACGTCATATGGCTTCAAACACCTGGTTACACAGTCGACCCTGATATCTTCTTCGACGACGACGGCTCCGTGGTTGTTGCGTCGGCCGGAGAACCCATTGTAGCCGCTTATCTTGAACTGGCTACTGGAAACACAAGCGAGCCATGGGAACTTTGGGCTGGTACTGGCGGCCAAAGCGCGGAAGGGCCACACATTTACAAACGCGACGGATATTACTATCTATTAATTGCGGAGGGCGGGACACAGCTGAACCATTCTGCGACCATGGCCCGATCAAAGAGTCTCAAAGGACCCTGGGAAGCAGCACCTCGTAATCCATTAGTCTCGAACAGGGGCACCGGCAATTACTTCCAGACTGTTGGACATGCGGATCTTTTTCAGGATGCACAGGGGAATTGGTGGGGTGTTGCATTATCAACACGTGGAGGTCCGACGTTGTACAAGGAGTTGATCTATCCCATGGGAAGAGAGACAGTTCTCTTTCCAGTCTCCTGGCCTTCCGGAGGCTGGCCGGTTGCGGACCAAGTTCAGGGTAGGATGAGCGGTCCGTTGCCGAGTCAGTCATTGATAACCCATGGCATCGGACCTGTGGTAGGCGAGCCGGACGTGGTAGACTTTGAACCAGGATCCCAAATTCCTTCGAATTGGGTGTCTTGGAGAGCACCATTCGACGCAGCCTCCTTTGCAATCTCTCCAACGGGCCACGAAGACACAATGCGCCTTACTGCATCACGCGCCAACCTCACTACCGATCTTAACTTCAGCACCAGTACCGAGGGCGTGACTGCACTCTTCCGCAGACAAGAGCACACATACTTCAACTTTAGCGTTGATATCCAGCTCGGCTTCGGAAAGTCTTCCGGTGACGAGATCGGCATCTCTAATTTCGGCACCCCTGATCAGCACGCCGACCTCGGCATCGTTTACTTGGAGGACGTCTCTGAGTCTACGGGGAAGCTCAAGCCGTATTTGCGAGTGCGAGCTCGTTCGGTGAACGCATTCACAGCGCCTGATCCAACAACAACTCCTGTTCCCGAAGCTTGGCTTGCAGACGCGATCCGACTGCGGATTTCCCCAAGGAATGAGAGTCACTATGAGTTCTTCGCCTCCTCAGTCGGTCAAAACGGTAAAGAGGAGGTGATTGGGTTATATAGCATCGCCCTATTGTCTGGTGATGGTGCGGGAACCGGAGGCATACTGGGAATCTACGCAACTACGAACGGCGGCAGCTATCCATTCGAAGGTTACGTGAGTAGATGGCGATATCAGCCTGTCGCCCAGCAGATTGGCTACAACTCCACGATCTTCGTACCAACTTGAACAGTCACTTGACATACTGGATAGCACGTCTGCAATGGACTCAACGTTTCAAACGGGATTCCAGACCTTTCTTCGAGTCGTTTTAATCATTGCCTATCCCGGAACTTGTCAAACAGATTGCCCGGCTTGTGATGCTATCATGATGACACATGCACGTTCAACAGTTTTCGCCTGACAATAATCAGAATTTGACAAGTCTTGGCAATCACATGAAGCTTAAATATGTTCAAGATTAAAACGCTCTGCGGCTTTGAGCTAATTTTTGAACACAAGCGACAACGACCGTACCGCATCTGTCGCCCCTCGGTACTTTTATCTGTCCGCTGATTTATGCCATGGGAGCGGAAAAATTGAAGGAGAATACCAAGGGATCTAGTGTCACGTATTTTAAGTCTAAAACCCTAATTAGAGCAAATTCATCCCATTGGGTTCACCTTGCAAGAGAAACATATCTGGTGTGGCACCGATACCACGGGCCTCGGGCGGACTCAAGTGCCGATCTGTGCGAGTGGCCGCCACATCTTAATCCCTCCGATGCCGATACCGATGCCGGATAACAGAGTGTGCGTATATATGCTGCGCCAGCATGATAAAGAAACAATAGAGATGATGCACCTTGACACCTGGGTAGAACATCGATGTTTTTCTTTTGTTTTCACTGTGAATATCATTCAGCATCCGTACCGCATCACCGCACATAAAGCTTCTATTACGATGGCAGAAACCATAGAGTGGTTCGGTCTGTCATTCTCTATCAGTCATATCCTACTATCAGCTTGCTAATGAAAATTCAGGGGCCACGACGTTCCGTTTGAAAGCCAACGGTCTTGTCATATTTCTTGATACATGGCTGGAGAAGCCCTCCGCTCTCCCTAAGTACTTGGACATTGACGATGTTACTGAGGCGGACTACATATTCATCTCACATGCACACTTTGACCAGTGAGTAATGTTTTCATTCCTCATCGTCATAGCCAATTCCCTGATCACATTTAGTCTACCAGGAGCCGACAGAATAGCAAAGAAGACTGGTGCCATCGTCATTGCCAATGGTGAAGCCATCAACCTGCTGCGCTCGGCCGGCGTTCACGAGTCTCAGCTCTTTCCTGTCGCAGGCGGTGAGCGAATTCCAATGTTCACAAAAGCCGATCGCGACGCCGCCGTGGCGGGTAAGATACCTCTCGCCAATGGCCCACCGGGAGCACCCGCAAGACCGCACCATTCGAGGGCAGTCATGTCCGTTCACGTGTGGCCCTCTTTGCATGCTCTCATGCCGGGAAGTGGACACCATGACATCCCGGACGAAATCGATACCGGAACAGAGTACACAGGCGAAGCAACACCATACGTCTGCACCCTTGACGTGACCATGGGTATGAAATACGCCCTGATGAGGCTCAAGGAAATAATACCACCGGACCAGATGGATGAGGGCACCCGATCAATGGCAGATTACATGGAAGATCGAGATCGTCACGTCTTCTCGAATTATGATGGAGGCCAATTGGCGTACAACTTTCTCATTGGTCCTGGTAAAACGTTATTCTGGAACGGACATTTGGGAGGCTATGAAGGGACCCTGAAAGCCATTGAGCCGGCTCCAGACGTCGCGATCCTCGCCATTGCAGGGAGAGCAAACCTCAATGGGCGTCCCTACAACGGGTCTGCTGCTTCATTTGCTGTGGACGAGATTCGGTGGCTTTCGCAACCAAAGAAAGTCTATTGGTGTCTCCACGATAAAGGGTAGGTTCATACTGCAACTTGATTCGAACTTCAATGAGGATCTGATACTTTCTAGTGCCATTAAGCCATTTCGAGTAAACACCGCCGCAGCGACCGCGATGGTTCACGCCAAGACCTCAACTAATGTGGAGGATTTGGCCCCTGCAACACTGGTAAAGCTGTTTTGACTGACTCTTACACTTCCGGGCTGGCGATGTAGAGTCCGAAGTGCTTGGAATGTGCTTCCTTGGACTTCACTGAGTGCATTTCGTTGAAAGAATTTGTCGACTGCATGGTTTGCATATGCTGCTAGTAACATACCACCACGACTTCGTGACCTGCTCCGAAAGCTGTGGGCAGGTAGCCGGAGTCGTCCACTTACCGACTTCCGAGGCGTCAAAGCGCGTTGGGGTAGAAGATGGACGCGAGAGCTTGAGTCTAAGGCGAAGCTTCAACCCTGTCATTGAGGCACATGTGTGGGGTAACATCCCGCGGCGGAGGTGGGGGATCTTCGCGGGGTTCGCAGCGAGGGATGACACTTTAACCCCCAGTTGCCTCGTTAGATCTTTTTAGGCAAGAACATGTTGATGCCGACTATGAATGCCGACTATGAATGTCGAAATATTGTGTAACACGGAATATGCTGTTGTCCGAGTTCGCCGGTGGTTGCTCGTGTCCGAAGTGGTGGATCATGTATTATATACATGGTAATAAACTAGATAACTCCTGACCACCAAAACTTGCAGAAAAGTTAAGAGATCAACAAGATGGCTGTACCGTTCAAAGTCATCATCGCTGGTGGAGGACTTGCCGGCTGTCTCCTCGCCAATGGACTGGTCAACAATCGTGTCGATGTGTCGGTCTACGAGCGGGACGCGGAAGACACAAAACGAGAAGGATTCCAAATTCGGCTCGGCGAGAGCGCGCTGGCAGGGTTCCGAGCGTGTCTGAAGCCATCCGAAATTGCAACAATTCAGTCGAAGTTCAGCCAAATGTCATCGACAGGACTCACCGCACCAGCGATATGTAACACGAAGTTCCAGACCGTGCTTGATCTCGGGCAGCTGCCTTCGTACGCGGCATCGTGGGGCATCAATCGGGTGGTCCTCCGCGATATTCTAGTCAACCCACTGAAAGCAAAGGGGTGTCTTCACTTCGGGAAAGCCTTTGAGGGATACGAAATTATTAAAGATGTAGCCGGGCAAGAAACCGTCCTAGTTCACCTCGCGGATGGATCCACGGATACATGCGATTTGTTGATCGGGGCAGACGGCAGCAATTCGAGAGTATGATTTCGACGGTTCCAAGTTTTGTTCTAAGAAAGTACTAACCTATATGGCCGCAGATTAACAAACAGGTCGGAGCTCGCAATCTGGTCCCGGTTGACAGCCACATAATGATTCTCAGCAAAGGACCGTTACCACAGGAATGGACTGAGAAGCTGCCACCACGTTCGCTAAAAAGTCCAGTCATTGTATGGGCAGGCGGCATTTCTATGTACTACGCACGTAAGTTTCAAGGCCACACCGTGTCCTACTGCTTGCATGACTGACCCGTGTTTAGTGTTCTTGCCAAAGGCTGCGCAGCCAGCCGATGATTCAGAGAGCGGACCAAAATATAACGTGAAAGAGGCTTCCTTTTACTGGGGCTTCTGATTCCGAAAGATCGAGTGCCGAAGCAACAGGAGCTATCGGAGATGCAGGGCCCACTCCATATTTGTCTTGAGGCTACCAAAGACTGGGCGTCCGAGTAGTATGCGCAAACCCCTTGACAAGCTAGATATATATCCATGTTCTAACAATCATAGCCGCACAATGTTGACGACTGGGTTGGAAGACAAGAACAGGGATTTAGTTACGGCTACAAGATTACGCGCAAGCAACAAACTGCCAAAAACATGGCGCAAGAACGTCAACAAAGCAACTGGAGACGAGGGTCATCCTCGCGTATGGCTCGTCGGAGACGTAGTTCATGCAATGCAGCCAAACCGGTAAGTTGATGGTCCTTGGACCAGGAACTCACGTCACACAAGCAAATGCTTACAAAGTTTAGGGGTATGGGAGGAAATCAGGCATTCCATGACTGCGCTGATGCACTTCCTCGAATTCTCGAGTTGAAGGAGAAAGCCCAAACTGGAGAGAGGCCATCCTCGGAAGATGTCAGCACGGCGTGTAATCGATATGAAAGTGCGATGATAGACAGAGCCTTCCCTTGGGTCAGCAAGAGTGGAGGCACGAGCGTTCCCGTGAGTTATCTCCCGTAACATCTCACGACTTTCTGCATGTCTAAACGGTTCATATAACAGACTGTCAATCTAGACGGCATCCTCGGGACAATCCTGTGGGTTATTGGCACTTTCTTGGTGTCTGCATACATCTTCATGGCTCGAGTGATGAAGCTTGGCGTCAGGAGTGGATGAGATACAAGTCATCAACGAGAGAGGCTGCAATACCACTGATTTTAGCTATTGCATATGATCGAAGCTTTGAAATCGTGAATTTATGAGGTTGAAACCTCTTACTCAGCTACCAATAATTTCACCCTTCATGCAAACCGTGCTGCCATTCTCTACCAGAACCTCATACTTCTTATCATCTTCCACAGACGCCGTGCGGATTGTGTACTCATCGCCGGCATAGAGTGGTGACATTGCTCTATATCCAACCTGTCGCACTTCCCTGCCATCTTGCCCATAGACATCCCTCCAGTAGTCAAGCATGTTGATCAGGTTCAAGGGTCCATGGACCACAACTTCGGGATGCCTCTCAATGTCCTTCGTCCAAGGCTCGTTGTAGTGGATCATATGGCCATTGAAGGTAAGAGCCGAGAACCGGAAGAGGCCAACAGGTGACCATCGAAGATGCCGAAGGACAACGCCGTCTGAACCGTTCTCATCCGTGGTGGCTGACGGCCCAAAAGACGGTTGCCTCTTAGCTCGCGGAGGAGCAGTCTTTGCAGCCAAGGAGACATTGACTTCTGGTCGGAAAATCCATGACCTAAGAATTCGTAAGTCATGGAAACAAGCATGGTAGCGTAGAGGGCGGGGAAGGCATACCTCTGGTCCTTAACAACCAGTCCATCCCGTCCCCAAAGCTCCTTTTCAACATCCACGAGGACCATCTCGTCACCGCTGCGGCTCTTCTTCGGCGTAGCGCCAACAAGCCTCGTGCGCTCTTCAACCTCTTCGCCAACTTTCAGCGAGGTCCCCTCAATGAACTGCATCTTCCCGCCAGCCCACATCCGCCGCGTGAACGGTGCTGGAGCATTGAACGTCTTGTCCGTCCCGTCCATGCCCAATTCGCTTTCGACCCCTGTTGGAGTGAAGTAAACAAGGTGATACCCTGGTGGAAGCGGCGTGCCTTGCTTGGGCGGTTCAGCGGAGACGTCGATTCCCGGATGCAGCTGCTTGCGATTGAGTGTCAAGCTGAGGCGCTGCAACTGATTGGGATCGAAGAGTTGTTTGCGCGTAACATCTTTCCCGGCAAAAGTCTCGAGGAGTTTTGATGCTGCGTCAGTTGCATTGGTGGTTATGGACCTCCTGCCGCGTGGTGTACAGCGTGAGATTGCTGGTCGTATCTGATGAGCAAGGGAGGCCATGTTGGCGGTTGCAGGCGCGGTTGGTGTTGAAGTCCAAGTGCAAGATTGAAAGAACAACAACAATTGGATCGTTGGGAAGGCAAGAACACATGCAATAATCTCGAAAGATATCAAAGCCGACTAATGTCCGTCATCCGACGTCAAGCTTCCATCTCGGCGAGTAAAGCCCGGCATGGGGAGAGTGCGCGCCGAGGAACCATCCCAATTGGGGAATGGACTGAGCACGTGTGTTGATCGCGGGGTCTGTGGGGCAAGCGGGCTCTTCGGTTATATGCTCTCGGCTTCTTCTTCCTGCAGGTGGCTGAAGTAGCCGAGTCATGACACTCGGCTCAAGAAGCCGAATGTTGCTATGATGCAACCGGGGCTTCCGCGCTTCTGGTTAGGGCAGCTATAGGGAAAATATGAATGCTCAGAAGGGAGGATATTTCCTTCTTTGACTCTTTCCGCTAGGCTAATTCCGGGGCGTCATCATAGGCACCGCTGCAAGAAGTTGAGGCCCTCAACTTGCATTGGACCGTTGGCGTAGAGTTGCGGGTCCAGGAAGAGGCCGAGATCACCAAGGGCATGCTCGCCTTCCCAATTGGTCTGCATCAGGTTAAAGTATTGGTCCTCTATGGCGTCCGATCTGCTTTGCTCCATGGTGTCTGTGGAAAGATTCTGGGGTGTGCTAGCTGTGTTGAACGGGCTCAGGCCTGCCGTGGATCCTGATGCCCCATCAGCTGCCGCAGCATCGGCGTCTTCGTTGTAGATTCTCTTGGCAATGGGCTTGTCGAGATATTGTAAAAAGAGATCCAAGACATTGTTGTTGATGCGCCAGTAGTTTTGAATCTCTTTCAGTCCTAAATGACACATCTGGGCTCTGTGAACTGCGAGCTGGCGACCGATCCCATCGGCCGACTTGATGTCGATAGCGTGAATACAAAGAGCCGCGAATAGGCTTGTTAGTCTGAGATGTTAGTGAAAGCATCTAGCAGTAAGAGGAAATAGTGCTCACAGATGCATTTGGCCGTATTGTAAGGTTTTCTGTGCGAGCATGTCTTCTGCTATCCTGCTGATTCGACAGGCAGCCGCGAGGGCGGCCTTTTTATCCTCTTCGTCTCGGTTTAGAAGCCATCCATTTCGATGAACTAGGATGCGCAAGTGACTGTGAAGCTCATTAGAATTACAGGGACGATCCATCATCAGTGTTCCGGCCATACTTGTAGGCAAGATGAATGAGGCATGTCAGGACTGACGATTGCCCCTCCTCGGGTTCTCTCCTCAATTCTTCTGGCAAATTCTGCTTCCACTGCTCGAGTTGTTGCTTCAGGTCGCGCACTTCACCTGGTGCAGGAGGACCACGGCCCGGCGCAAAGTGTGTATCTGTAATCCTTCCGACTATACACCTGTTAGTTGAATCGCATCGGGGGTCAAGCAACTCTGATCAGCTTACGTAGCCTTGCTATGTCTACCATATTGATAGCGTAATGCACATGCTCAGATTCGGATGTGCCAAACGCTGTAGCTGGCTGATCATCCGTGTCGCCCTCCAAATCAGAGGCGATCAGAGGCTCGATGTCGCAGTCTTCATCTCGTATTCTACATGGAAGTCCCAGAGATATCGCCGCTTGCCTTTCTCTCACCTTCAAGGAGTTCGTTAGTGAAATCTCGACAGTGTTGAGAAACAGCTTACGTAGATGGACCACCAGACTCTTCTTCTCATTCGGGCAAACTGGGGTTCTCTTGTAATGAAGCGTGTTCTTTACGATCGTCAGCCTGCCCCAGTATTGAACTCACCTCCTTTGACTTACGATCTATGGAGGCCATGTGTCTGCGCAAGAGTCAAGACGCATCCCAGCCAGTATCTTACATCTCTCCAGTCGGTAGGACCGCCCCTCCAGAAGCTGCAAAGGAACAGAGATTGGATGAGTGTGAACTCGTCTTTTTCCCAATTGGAGTGGAAAAGAATTCTTGCACGCGAGTACGTCACACTCTTCGCTTCTGAGCGGTCTTTGAAGCCCATAGCTGTGATGGTAGCCTCATCGCAGTATGTCGACCCGATGAAGAGCATCGCCTGCAACAACAGTGGCGAGATATCCATCGTCGCAAGTCTTCGCGCCACGTCTGCGCGATCCAGTATTGGGAAGCACGGGTGAAACCATTTGAAGTATGCGCGAAGGGCAGGCAGACAGCTCTGCATATCGGGAAAGATCAAGGCCCCTTCATCCCTCAGGTATCGCTCCGTAGCCGAGCTGATGTTATTAATACTGGCAGGCGAAGTCCCCAAGTCCTGCGATTGAGGTGTCTGGGGAACTGGAAAGGCCAAGCGACCCTTCAATACAGCGTCTCCCGCAGTCGCGTCGGACCCCGGCTCAGGGGCACCCGGCACGAGGGTGAGGAAGTTGGACTCTCCGAAGAAGCGGCTACTTCCCGTGCCAGTCGCAGAATGTGACGACGCGGGCGTCTCAGTGTGAAATGGTGTTTGTGATGCGCCCGAGTTAGGAAGACCGCGAGACGGTGAAGCAGTGCTCATAGAGGCGAGGGTTGCCGCCACAGCAGACGTGAACGCGGAGGGTGGAGCCGATACGACAGGTTCCGGAGTGAAAGACGCTGCAGCTTCTGATCGCTTCTCCTTCTTTGACTTCCGTGGATATCTGCTGCCTTGTTATCATTTTGATCAAGATGAATAGTGATTGCGCAGTGGACTCGCCTGCCTCTTCTCGAGGGAAGAACTTCGCATGTCGCGTTCGAGCTCTCACAGTTTGAACAGGGAAGACGCTCTGTGACGTTGCAGCGAATCCGTCGTGAGTTGCACTCTTTGCACGCGTGCTTTGCGCGGTGCTTTTTGAGGCCTTCTGTGGGCATTGTAGGTTGACTCGGGCCACCCGTGATCGCGTCTTAGAATGATGGAATGGGTATCATCGGATTGTTTATTCGTCAAAGACGGGACCAAAATTGATCGCTCAGCGCCACAGTTCGAACTCCGCAGTGTTCGACGGCGCACTGTACCCACATGGGCCAAATTCTCGGCTATCACATCCGTGGTGGAATCCGGGGGTTCTCTACTAGCAGCTACTCCAAGATTGGACATGATACATCATCTAATATGACTTTACCTTCTCCTTGTCCAACTAGAACGATGGCCATATCAAATTCACCGACTTGAGATAATTTCAGCCCCGTGAAATGTCGCGGACGTGGGGGCGGAGCTTAATGAGAGGTACTTCGGAAGCTGGTGCCAAAGAGTCAGCCCTGTGAGTAGCATGATCAATAGGTGGCTGCATGAGGGTGAACGAATACATGCCAGGGTCGGTAGTTTTGTACAGTTCAGCACCAAGAATGCCCTCAGCATCAATAAACAGTACTAGAACCCTTGAATTCACTTCGGCGCACTGCTGCTCTCCGAGGCATCGCGCAAATGACACCCACTTCAATGTTGAATTAATTAATCTCATGTCCCCAAATAATCCCCTGTATTGTAACAAAATGGCTATTCAAGACAACAAAGCTCGAATGCGGCTGATGATGAGGAAGACACGTCCAACAGCCTTCGTGTTATCTACTTATCCGCCCACATTCATGCAAGCGAGGTTGCTACCCTGACAACAGCTGCAGAACGAAGTTGTGGGCTTACTGCCCGTGTCGCAGAGGAACTGGTGGCGCGAGATTTATGGTCAGTCATAATCTAACATAAGTCTTGCTGATTAGAGTCTTACGTTGGAGGTTGAAAATGAGTTGCTACCGCAGCAGCTTTTGGTGACAGATTTGTGTACCGTGGAATCCATGGGATGCTCAGCATCGGTACAGAAAATGGGCCCTGCAAGTGAGCTGCAGCGGAACTGAAGGTTAGCCTCGTTCAATGAAATTGATCTAGGGCATTTCAGTGATTATCGTACCTTGCTCCGAAGAGCGCAACTGCCAAAATTGTTGTTGGCAACATCGTTAAAAGAGGCTTGGTGTCTTCTGTTGGTTAAAGCTTGCTTCTGATTGTAACACGGAGTCGGGCTCTCTTATATCTACTTTTAATACCTTATCATCTTGGAACTAGTTATGTACACAGAAGGGAGAACCAGCTCATTTTTTCCTGACTCGCAAAATCACTCCACGGGTTGTCGGCATGTTCCATTTCTCTGAAATACGGACATTCGTAGGTTGACTCGCCGGCACTTTCCTACCTCGGCACCCTTGTTTGAGTGGAAACCGGAGGCTCGCACATTGCCTCGCCGAGAGTTACTTGTCTCGACCAAAATTATGTCTCTACGGAGAATCTTTTAATTAACGTGGATGTATTTAAACTTTCAGTCTTCAACCCCAGACACCGATTATCATACGCCAGTGTATGTTCTTCGGTCCCTTCCTCAATCACGAGTACTTGCCTGAATCCGGACTCAATTAGAGATGAACAGGTCCTAGCTGCAGCCAATCGTTCATCAATGAACTCATCTCAAAGTTTTAAGACGAAGTTCCCTAACCCCCTGCTCGAGGTCTACCATGTCTTCATAATACACAAATAGATACACAATGTGCAAAGGTTCAAGGTTGGTCTGCCTTTATGTCATTGTATAAAACATATCATCAATTATGTCTTTTTTTAACTTCGCCGTTTCTAGTAACTACGAGGCAATTGAAGGACCTTCTCTCCAATGTAGTTCAGAATCATCTCTCGACTAACGGGTGCAATACGAGGAACCAGGCACTCTCTGAAATACCTTTCCACATCGTACTCGGCCGCGTAGCCCATACCTCCGTGTGTAAGAACAGCTCTCTCGCAAGCCGTAAAGGCAGCTTCTGCAGCCATGTATTTGGCGCTGTTGCAAGCCACTCCAACTGCATCCTGACGAATGGACGAGTCCTCCTTGCTGGCGTCGTACAGTCTTGCCGCGTGGTAAGTTGCTAGGTTCGCAGCCTCCAACCGCATGTACGCATCGGCGAGCGGATGCGCTATGGCCTGGTTCTGCCCGATCGGCCTCTTGAACACCACTCGGTCCCGGGCATACTCCGCGGCCTTGGCTATCGCGGCGTAGCCCAGCCCCAACGCTTCACCGGCAAGCAGACAGCGCTCAGCGTTCATGCCGTGGAGGATAATCTTGAAACCCTGGCCCTCCTGGCCTATCAGACTGGAAGCGGGGATGGCGTAGTTGTCGAAGAAAACCTCGTTGGCGTCGACGGCACGGCCGCCCATCTTCTTGATCTTGCGCATGTCCAAACCAGGCTGAGAGCGGTCTAGGTCGATGCAGAAGAGTGAGAGACCTTCACTCGGCTTCTTACAGTCCTCAAAGGCCTTTGTGCGGGCGAGGAGAATCATCTTGGATGCGACTTGCGCGCAGGTGATCCAGATCTTCTGACCAGTAACCAGGTACGAGCCGTCTGGCTGCTTCTTTGCTGCGGTGGAGAGGCGTAGGGTGTCGAGACCAGCGTTTGGCTCCGTGACTCCAAAACAAGCCCTCCATTTGCCGGAGATGATATTGGGAATTGTGCTCTCGAGTTGTTCCTGGGTCCCAAATTTGGCAAGTGGCTGCGTCGCGTAGACGTTGGCGTGGATGGACTGGGCGCCGGCCATGCCTGCGCCGGACTCAGTGATGGTCTGCATCATCATCGTTGCCTCCGAGATTCCAAGGCCGGAGCCACCCAGCGATTCTGGCAGGGCAATACCGAGCCAGCCATCTTTAGCGAGGGCAGCGTGAAACTCTTTGGGATCCTTCTCTGTCTGGTCGCGTTCTTGCCAGTATGTGTTGGGAAACTCGGAGCAGATTTGACTGACGGCTTCACGAACTGTCAGTTGGTTTTCTGTGAAGCCCGTTGTCTCCATTATCCTTCGGCGAGCTGACGTTGAGAAGGCCGCTGGACGCAGGCATCCCGCCGTCCTGACCGCCGGTCGGGCAACGCGCCAAAGACTCCGAGCGAGAGGTTGTGACATGATGAATAATACAGGAAATGATGGACGTGAAGAAGTTGATTCGCTGGATTTAGAGCAGAACGAATCCTCTGACTCTAAATAACAACATCCATTGACTCTAAAGGCCGACTCACTTCTCTGAAAGGCATTTCAGGGCGACTTCAGACTCGGCAAATGGCCCCGACAGCATGGACTATTCCCGGGCAATTAGCGACCGGAGTGACGCCACTGAGTGGGTGATCAGCGGCCGGTGATTACGCAGTTCTGCATAAAGCCGAATGGACAAAGAAGTAGCCGATTTGATGTGCATGCACCGACGCCGTCACTTGTTGCTGTTGGTTGACCTCGGCCAGCACAGCAGCTGATGGGCTCTGGTCGCTGGAGGCAGCTTCATGATGAGGAGGACTTAGAAAAGTCATGCCAACCCCTAATGCACGTATTACTTCGGGATTTAAATTCCCAAGCCAATCAACCCTCACTTAGCACCATCGTCCTCCTTCGCTGAAGACCATTTGCTTTTACCATTACCTCTGTACACCCCTGTCTCCAAAACAAGATGCCGTCAGGACGTGCCGCTCTGTCGCTCTTGGCTACCAGAGCATCTCCATGTCCGCCCAGAGGCTCATGGGGTATCAAGCCCGCCATGAGACCAGCGAAAGCTTTCGTACGATCTCCATTCCAGCAAAATATCGCCTTGAGAACCATGGCATCCACAACATCAAAACCTGAGAGAGAGCCACTACCTCTTGAAGGCATCACCGTCGTCAGTCTCGAACATGCAATCGCTGCACCTTTCTGCACTCGTCAGCTCGCTGACATGGGCGCTCGTGTCATCAAGATCGAGCGTCCAGGTGTTGGTGACTTTGCAAGGGCATACGATACCCGAGTTAATGGCATGGCATCACATTTCGTCTGGACCAACCGTTCAAAAGAAAGTCTAGCACTCGATCTCAAAGACCCGAAACACTTTGAGGTCCTCGAGAAGCTTCTTGCCAAGTCGGATGTGTTGGTGCAGAACCTGGCGCCGGGCGCCACGGAGCGACTTGGCTTGGGCTACTCAACACTCAAAGAGTCGCATCCGTCTCTGATTGTTTGTGATATCTCGGGCTATGGGTCTGACGGCCCCTACAGAGACAAGAAGGCGTACGATCTTCTTGTGCAGAGCGAAGCGGGCTTCCTCTCTGTTACTGGCAACGGTCCGGACCCAGCGAAGGCGGGCATCTCCATCGCCGATATCTCTGCCGGCATGTACGCCTATTCCAACATTCTGGCCGCCATTCTGAAGCGCGGCAAAACGGGCAAAGGATCACGGATAGACATCTCGATGCTTGAGAGCATGGTTGAGTGGATGAGCTTCCCACTCTACTACACGTATAACGGGGCCCCGGGCTTGTCCCGCTCCGGCGCCTCCCACGCCTCTATATACCCATACGGCCCATTTGACACGGGTGGCGGAGGCTCGGTCATGCTTGGCGTGCAGAACGAGCGAGAGTGGGCTAACCTTTGCCGAGACGTTCTTGGCAATGAGGCTCTTGCCAAGGACCCAAAGTTTGTGAGCAACACCCTCAGAACGAAGCACCGTGATGAGTTAAGAAAAATCATCTGCGACGCTTTCGCCGAATTCTCAGCAGAGGAGGTCCTGCAGAAGCTGGATAAGGCGTCGATAGCCAACGCCAATGTGAACGATATGCAAGGCGTATGGGATCACCCGCAGCTTAAGGCAAGAGGCAGATGGACGGACATCGAGACAGGTAGTGGAAAGGTTCCTGCTCTAATCCCTCCGGGTTTCGGAAACGTTGAAAGCTCGAGAATGGAAAAGGTCCCGGAACCGGGAGAACATAACGAGGCCATCTTCAAAGAATTGGGTATTGAGCAGTGATGCGGTAGATTTAGGTAGCCGTCAAGACATATCGTTCGAGCAAACTCTCACTCACCATGCCCCTGGTCGTCACCTTGACCTATAAACACTCCACGCTAGGGCCTTATCGCATCACGATCACTAATTCACGTCATTGATTGGCTTCCCACGCTGACGTACCTGAACCCCGCAGGAAAATTGTCGGCATCTTCGATTCTGAGATGGCTATTTGGAAATATTTGAGCTACCATCCATGCTTTCCCCGCACGATGACCCCGTGGGGTGATGGCGACCCTGGTTCTAGCGGATAAGAAGCGCGGGGAATTAATCCCGAAGGATGCTCCAAGGTGGCATTGATGAGTCCGTCTTAGGAAAGGTGACGGGGAAAAGGAGGCTTCAGGGCGAAGTATAAATCCCAAGGACCTTGATCAGTGAACCACGTTCTTTACTTGAAAGTTGCCTGTCGCTTAAGATCGCATAGACAAGTTTGTCTCCCGTATAATCACTTCCTAGATCTTCTACTTCGACCAACCACTCGGTGATTATACCTCCATTGCCCAAGAGCCAGTAAGATGGCTGAGAAAACCCATGATGGCGACGGCACATTTGACGTCCACGATGACATCGAGAACGGCAAGCCTTCGGACAGCCTTGTCGAAAACATCAGGCAATCGCAACCTCACTTCGACATTGACCCTGTCTTGAGCAAGAAGCTCGACCGCAACTTCGACTATCACATCATTCCCTGGCTTTTTGGTATATGGTGCGATCCCCAATATCATCCTGTCAAGTTCTTACACTGACACCTTTGAGGCTATTTGCCTTCATTGACAGAAGCAACATTGGAAACGCTAAGATCGATGGCCTTACCGAGGACCTCAATATCTCCACTGGAACTAAGTTCAACATAGCGCTCTTGGTATTCTACATCCCCTACATTCTTGTCGACGTACCAAGCAACTGGATTGTCAAAAAGGTCCGGGCGGGTATATACCTCCCGACATTGATAACGTGCTGGGGCATAGTAAGCACCTTCCTCGGCTTCACTAAGAGCTTCGCCGGACTGGTAGTATGCCGCCTCTTTCTAGGCCTTTTTGAGGGAGGACTCCTGGGAGGCATTGTGGTATATCTCGCTATGTTCTACCGAAGACATCAGATGCTCTACCGCATTGGCCTATTCTACTGCGCGGCTCCTCTGTCAGGGGCTTTCGGGGGGCTTCTTGCGACTGGCTTGGCTACGATTCGTCACGGTGGCTACAACAGATGGCCCTGGATCTTTTTCAGTGAGCGCCCCTAGACTGCTACAACTTGATGTGCTAATCAGCTGCAGTTGAGGGGATAATTACGACGGTGTTTGGCATAACATGCTTCTTCTTTATGCCGAGCACTCCAGCCGACGCGAGATTCCTCACTCCTGAAGAACGAACACAGGCCATGAACCGTTTGAGAGAAGATTCTCATGGGGCAACAAACGTTGAAGATGTCAACGACGAACACTTTAGTTGGCACTGGGTCAGAATGGCTGTGCTTGCTCCGCAGACCTATCTCTGCGCCTTGGCATGGATCCTCCTCCTTATCCCGCTTTACGTATGTCTTCCTTCGACAGCTCGCTCGGCGGACCATCATTCTAACCTCTTTCCCAACAGAGCTTCTCGCTGTTCCTCCCCTCAATTATACAAGGCCTAGGCTATCGCAATACCACCCAAGCGCAACTTCTCACTGTGCCTCCCAACATGGCCGCCTTCTTCGTTGTTCTTTTGACAGCCAGCTTGTCAGATGGGATCAAGGCCCGTGGACCCATCATGGCTGTGGGGACTCTTGTTGCCCTTTGCGGATATATCATGATTTTGGCATCGAAGTTAAACGGAGTGAGATATGGCGGGACATTCTTGGTTGCAACCGGCGTTTATCCAGGGTCGGCAATGATTATGGTAAGTCTAAAGCTTGTTTATCACCGCTTCGACGAGCGATCTCTAACATGGCTAGGGCTGGCTTTCGAACAATTTGGCACCTCACTACGTTCGTGCCACTGGTGTGGGACTCCTCATTGGCTTAGCAAATATGGCTGCTTTTCCGGCAACATTCATCTATCTGCAAAAGAATGCGTAAGTTATCGGATGGCATCCGGGACTACAAGTGATATTGACCATCTGGTGTCTAGTCCGGATTACATCTTAGGTCATTCTGTCTGCATCGGCTCTCTAATTCTATGCTTTGCTACTGTCTGCATTCAGATGTTGTACTGCAGGTGGGAGAACATGAAACGGGAAAAGGGTGATCGGGATAGCCGGCTGATTGGCGATCGAGTCCATCTTCTCGGCCATCGTCACCCAGCCTATCGCTACACACTTTGATTTTGAGGCTCAAAAGCCTGCATCATGTGGATAACGTACCTTAAGCCCTAAACATGGAACCATGCAATATGGCGCTTGTCGAGTAAAGCACCGATTGGGAAGCTCACGAACAAATCCAGGACCCTAGGTAACTGAGGGTATTCAACGTTGGAACTCAAGAGACGCCAGTTCATTTTCGTGCGGATTTCAGCCGCGAGAACGTTGACAGGCAAGGCAATGCAGCCAGACCAAGAAGAGTCAGGTGCATCAGAGATAGGAAAACACCAGAGGTTTTATGTATTTCTATCTACTCGTTTAAGGAAACAGGATTGAATTAGATGTCTCTAAACTTTCGAGCAACGCATCGACAAAGTGCTTATCCCGCCAGTCAAGGCGCTGTGGTTGGACGGTGAGCTCATAGCTCGTATTTCCCGTCACTGCATCCTCCCAGCATCTCACAACTTCTGGATTGAGTGCAGACCTCCATGTTGTCCGGATATCAATGAAAGCTGGATATAGCTTACTGCAGCGAAGACCATACCCAAAAAAGAATCCGACATAGTTTTCTGCGTCCCATGACCATATGATCATCTTCTCCAATTTAGGCATTCGCATTGCGGCCTTTCCAGCTGCGAGAAGAACGGTATCCATCATGTCCTCGTCAGATGATGAATTTGACAAATTGCAAGATAAAACAAGTTGGTTCAGCTCAGGCCAGGCTTGTCTGAGAGACTCGTTGGGTATTCCCAAATCCCCCGTGCAACGGAAAAAGTCGAACGCATCAACTACCCGTGATGTAATAAAGGACTCGAGATGGAGACTCGCGTGGAAACAGGCGAGTGCAAGATCCTCCCTCTTCTCCGTGTACGGATTGTCCTCCTCTAAGAGGTATGCGGATTCTCTGACCACCATGCGTTTGACCCAACCCCTGTGTTTTTGGAATAAGGCCAAAAAGGCGTCGTCTCGCAAAGACTGGTCTTCTCCGAGTTGCGAGCAATGTGGGTGATATACCACTCTTGTCAGGTGGTTCATGCTCTTGAGCAGGATGCTCATAGCATTTGCTGAAGCGCTTCGTGTTGATTCAGAATGGAATATCCACAAAAGCTCATCCACAATAGGAACTAGCGGCAGCTTTTTCAGTTTGAAATCTAGCAGGCTACCTTGCATCCTTGGGGGCCAGTCTTCAACATCGTCCGCGGACATGACGTTAATACGAAGCGCCAAACCATGGTCATGCTCTGGGCCGGTCCAGTTTGCCAAAACTTTAAAGAGCGAAAACACGGCCATCGTGAAGAGAGCATTGTTCCTCCGAATCTCCTTTTCGGTCTCGACCTGGACGTCGCCTGAAGAGTTTCCCGGAAGCTCGATATTGAGTACAATTTCTTCAACAAAAGTCCTGCGGTAGCCCTTCACCATCTCTCCAAGAGCCTCAATTTCAGCTGGAGAATTGGTAAACGTGACATCCAGGCTGTTGAACGTGTACTCCTCGAAGAATCGCTGCCATTCCTTCGACACGCACGCCAAAGTTGACAACTTTTGAGGCTTCGGAACCAGCTCGGGCTCCGCAAGCATGTTGGCTTGCGGGTATTCCAGCTCAACTTCCGGGGCAAGATTGTCGGGCACCGCATTCGTGTTGTTAGCTCGCGCAAACATGTCGTTAGCTCGCGCATACCAGTCGTTGGTTCGCGCAAGCAAGTCATTGTTTAGCGCTATAACGTCGTGCGTCACACCTACGTTGATGCCTAGCGCAAGCATGCCGTTTAATAGCGCAGACATTTTATGAGTCTGCATAAGCATGTCATTGAGCTTTCCAATGATTTCGACGATCTTCGGCTTTGGAGAAGACTCCTCATCAATATTGGATTCCTCATCAAGGTTGGGTACCTCATCCGCGCCATCGACATCCGGATCCTCGGCGGCGTTGGACTCCTCATCAAGGTCAGACTCCTCATCGAGGTCGGACTCTTCATCAATGTCGTCCAGAATATGCTCTAATATCAAACAACGAAGTTCTGTTGGTAAGCCTGTAAACCGAAAGTGAGAATTTGGCTCCGAGCCATTATTAAGGGGGGCCTTTGAGTGCAAAGTGGGATGGCATGGTTCCATGGTGACCAACGGAGCGCTTAGCGATGTATCTAAGAATCAGTCCCGTGTTGTGCCGCACCAAGTCGTGATTCGGGGGTATCCTCGCCTCGTAGCACTGAGGGTGTAAACAAAGTATGGATTGGTTACAGAAAGTAATAGCTTTCGGGCAGAATTGGTAATTCATAATATGTATTCTCAACTCGGTTTCTCCGAAGTGATCGTGGCTTTCTTACAATATGCGCGTTTGCAGGATGTTTCTCCGAAAGCCAGCGCGCCCCAAACTTGAATTCAAGCCGGAAACAAAACTTCACGTATTGAAGTTAGAGGTCCTTGTTCATTTTCAGCTAATCAGACTCAACTTTGCCAGAAAATCTCAAAACCTTCCTGCCTATGCCACACAGCGGTAGGATGCTGCTGTTGATCGCTCCACTTTCTTAGCAAACCTCATCAATATCAACGCGGCGCCACAGTAGCAAAGACTGTGTTTGCGATCTAGTAGGCGTAGAAGTTCGTGGCCTCGTCCTGCGTAGTTCTTATTTGTCTGTTCATTCGTACCAAGATGAACTTCATCAACCACGCCGTCATTACGACGCCCATCGAAAAGCCAATGCTCGCAATCATTGCCTTCCTAAAAAGCGGGCTGTCGCTGTCGGGCCAGAGATAGGGCGTGTATACGAATGACAGGTTGCCTAGTGTATTGACCATCGCAATCGCAGCCGCCTTCTTCTCGTCCGTTTGGCCAACAGTAGCGGCCGTCCATGCGACGTTAATGTTGTTCACGCCGTACCTGGCACCAACAAACAGGACCATGGCAAAGTACCGTGCACCAATGTTCATCGTGCTCGTCGCGACGGCAAAGCCGATGCTCGCCACTGTCTTGGAAACGGTAATATGCCAAGTTCGCTCGTTGTATCTCCCAGAAGACCAGGACACCAACACAGATGCTGCCCCGGCGATCAGGTAGGGCGGGCATGTGAGTACGAGCGTGATGGTTGTATTGAAGCCGAGAGACTTGACCGCCGTCGGCATGTAATTCTTGAAGCCGTTGGCGGATAGATGGAGATTTCCCATAAGAGCAAATAACCAAATGCGATAGTCTGTAGCGGCTTCCCACAGACCGGACCATGTGCTTGTCGCCTGACGCTTTTCTGTGGTGTCTTTGGCGACGCGGTCATGGGCTAGTTGTCGCTGCTCTAGCGTAAGCCATCGGGTCTCGAGGGGAGCGTTGGGAAGTAGGAAGAAAGCGACGGATGCCACGCCAACTGCCAGAGATGTTAGCAGACTCATATGTAAAAGAATGGTGGTCATCATGGCGTACCAGTGACAACTCCTTGTATCAAGAACAACCATCTCCAACCAGCGAGGCCGTGTTTCCCGTCAAGGCCAGCAAAGACACCAGCCGCGATCAAACCTGAGAACGAGCTTGCAAGGAGATTTCCAGTATAGAACACAGCCAATCGAGTTGCAGTCTCTTTCCTAGTGTAGAAGAGGCTAACCATGTAGCAAGCTCCGGAATAGAAGGGCGCTTCGGTGATCCCAAGGATGAGCCTGGCGGTATATGAAGAGTCAGTTATCACAAAAGTCGAAAGGTGACTAGACGTAGTGGTCTTACCTGCAAGCCAGCATGCCATGGTAGTCTTAAACAATGCATATGAGAGTCGACACAACGGCCCAGGCCATCATCCACCCCGACATATACCAGGTGGGCTTAACACGGGTGACGAGCATGTTGGAGGGAATCTGCCCGGTGATGTATCTGCATCATCGTGTCAATCATCGTACTGTCATGTCTGCTCTGCAAGAGCTTACCCCACGAAGAAGATGCTGACGCATGTGTTGTATTGAGAACCGACCATATTGAGATCCTTATCAAGATTGTTAAGCTTTCCGTTCACGATGGCGTTTCGGTCTAGGAAGTTCTACGAAACATTAGAGAATCCAATACCAAAGGGATTTTCTCAATGTTCTCTTACAAGAAAGTACATGACCCATAGAATTGGCTGCGGAGGCAGAGTTAGCGAATTGTAGTCAAGATAACCTATGTCTACAGGAAAGACATACCATGAGGTACGAATCGAGCTTCTTCACAAGAGCAATTTCTTTAGGATCGACCTTGTCGACAGATCCGAACTTCTCTCATTAACAGGCTTCAGGTCTTTCTTCCCCTCTAACTTTTCTTCTTTATAGTTTGCCGCCTAAAGGTATACCTTATTAACTACTATATAACTCTAATAGGGAAATATATAGAGGATTATAATATAACTTTTATAACTAACCTATAAATGTTACGGTCAGCTATCCGACAGTAGGGTCTGCTAACAGAAGCTGGGGATTGACACGTTATAACAGTATGCTGGCGTTGTGGTCTGGGTCGTAGGTCGTAGGCTGTAGTAGATCGTTCTTCAGAGGCTAAGGTGATCAGTCTTAGACTTAATAAGTAATTCGCAGTGAAGGTAAGCTGAGAGTATCTATGAGGATGAATATTATGTTGATTGCTGAAGAGCTATAGAAGTCTGACTATAAGCTAGGCTTAGGGTTACACTATATATAAGTCTAATTCTAAATATGTTCTTTTATACTTTAGGTTGATTTGGATCATTTTGATCTAAAATAATTGTTTAGCCTTAAGTTGTGTTAGATTATATTGATCTAACATAATTATTATCTTATTGTTATACAACTTAAACTATAGTTCTTCTGTTTCTAAATAAGTCCCTATTATTCTTATAATCCTATAATATAAATATCCTATCTTAGCTGCTTAATACCTACGTAGGTTAGTTATTTGTTGTTCTTATATAATAGGTTATAATATTAGGTCCCCTCTCTAAAAGTCTTATTCTTAAGACTTAATATAAGTAGGTTATTAGTCTTAGGTCATGGTCTTATTAATTATGCTTCCTAATTTATCTATAATACTGGTATTATATTAGGTTATATTTAGAAATCAGATTTTTATAAGACTTATTATACTTAGATTTAATATAACTATAAAGCTTTTAATACTTTAGTTAATTATTATAGTTATAATATAATACCTTATTCCCCTTATTTTTAGTATAACTAAATATATAAAATAGATCTTACTAACTTAAAGCATTATAGTAAGTATATAAAGTAGGGTTTCTCAAACTATAATAATAGTAATATAGTAAATACTTATAAGTACCTTAGCACCTTAGTGTTTCTTAGTGTTGCTAATTTATCTTAGTAGTGAATTATTATTTTAATAAGTAAAAGAAAGTGGAGTGGGAGGAGGAAGAGGCTGAGGAGGCGTTAGAGATGCTATAGATTTAGCTTACTACTGCTTTAGGTTGTTTATCCTATCTTTAGAAGCAGAAGAAGTTCTTAAAGGAGCGTAGGTTAGATTTAATTTATTAGGGAATATAATCTGTTAATAAATAGGAGGCTGAGGAGTATACTCTAGAGGCTTAGGAGTCCTGAGTGGTAGAGGATTTATTGCTATAGGGGGCTTAGAATAAGTTAGACTAGTCTTCCTCAGGTATAGGATTTATAGACTTAGGTATTTTTCTAAATATAAGGTTTTCTGAGGTTTTCTAGTTATTCTCTAGCGTTTTTAGGTGAATAAATAGTTTTCCTTGTTATAGTTAATCTGCTTCTATTAGCAGCTTAGTGAATTAATATACGTGTTTAATTTATATATATTAGCAGACTAGGTATATTAGTAACATTATATATTAGGGTATTAAGTATTAATATTTTTCTTTACGTTTTTAATATTATTTCTAGTATTTGCTAACTTCTGCTTTAATGTTTTTAAGATTAGCTTATAGTTCCTAAGTGTTTTCTTTATGTCTATATCCTCACTATTTAATTAAGAAGTAGAAACCTTCTCTTAATATACTAATATAATTAATAATATGTTTAACTTTATATTCTGGTTTATTATCTTCTATAATAATAATATTATTTGTTTGTAATCTTTATAGGGTTGGTTTAAGAAGTGAGATATAGAAAACTAAGTGATACTTTATAGTTTCTAGGAGTTTAAGTTTGTAATTAATTAGTGGAATTACTTATGAAATCTTAAAGGGTCTGAGTTTTTTATAGTTAAGTTTGTTATTTAGTTGCTTTATCTTAATGTTTTGCTGTATGAGATAGGTGCTATCTCCCTCTTTTAAGGTCAATCCCTTAATCCTTTATTTATTGCTAAATTATGCTATTTATTATTATATAAATTCAAGTTCTTTATATATGTTATCTTAGGTATCTTTGATTTATTATATGGAGGTGATAGCTTTTACTATAGCTAGTCCTATTTAGGGTTCTCTATAGGTAGTTAGTTTAAATCTATAGTTAAGGTAGAAGGGGGATTTCTTAGTATTTTCTCTTATTATGCTATTATAAGCAAATTAGGCTATTAGTAATAATATAACCTATTATCTTAGTTATAGTTAATATAGGCGTAGAGGTAGGTTTAAGGATTTAGTTGATTTATGCTATTTATCTATTAGTCTATAAGTAGAATATAGTAGATATTAATTATTTAATATTAAGGTGTAATATAATTAACTTCTAAAAATTAGAGGTGAAGATCGTATCTCTATCTGATATAATTTCTTTAGGTGTTTTATAGTTAGTAATAATATACTTAAGAAATATATAGGTATATTCTTTAGTGTTATTTAATTTCTTATGTTATAGGATGAAGTAGGTATATTTTATAAGTTAGTCTATAGTAATAAGAATGCTGTTAAAGTATACTTCTATAAGGGTTTCTTAGGACTTTAGTAGTTTGATGATAAAGTTAAGTGATATAGATTACTAAGTGGTTTGCAGTATAAGTAAAGGTTATAGTATACTATGAGGTTGATATTAAGCAGGCTTACCTTTGAGGTAGACCTTATAATCCTTAATTACTTTTGCTATATATTCTCTAGTAACCTTTTTTCTATACTATCATTATAGTTGTTTTTAGGTTTTTATAATTCCTTAGTGATTATACATAGGGTGAGCGTGGAACTCTATAATTGCTTTATCATCTAGTTTGCTAGGCGGGCTAGTATTAGATTATCCAGCTATTATTAAGAGTTTAGTAGCTAGTATTAGGTCTCTATTATTATTTCTTTTAAAAATCACTTAGGTTTCTTTAGGTATTAAGACGTTATAGTCTAGTTATTAGCTAAAGGCGTTAGTTCTGCTATTATCTAATCCCTTATAGTAGATAATTTAAAAGCTGAATTCTAACAAGAATTCTAATTATTTAATCTATTATTTATTTAATACTTTTAAAGTTATAAAATATAAAAGGTTTTTATGGTCTGAATATATAAGTACTTTATAGATAGTTCCTAAGAGCTTAGGTCTCTATTCCTTGAAGGCTTTAATGATTGCTATAAGTTCCTTATTATGGATCTGATAGTTGAGTTTAGGTCTGTGGAGCTTATGAGAGAAGAAGGCGTATAGATATAGTTATCCTTTTGAATCTTATTAAGATAGTTATGCTCTAATTATATAGTTAGATATGTTAGGCTCTATTTCAAACTGCTTTATTAGGTCTGGAATAATTAAGATAGGCTTATTAGTGATAAGCTCCTTAATCTTCTGGAATGCTGTTCATTATGGTTGTTCCTATATAAAAGGTGTGTTTTTGCAGCTGAGGCTTATGAGAGCTGTGTTGATCTGGCTATAATTTTTGATAAATTTGTGGTAGAAGTTGATAAAACCTAGGAATCCTTAGACTTCCTTGAGGGTATTAGGTACTAGCTATTCCTTAATAGCTTTGACATTGTTTTCTGACATGCAGACTTTCCTAGGGGTGATAGTGAATCCGAGGTATTCCACCTTTTGTGTGTAGAATTTGTTTTTCTTAGGTTTAACTAACAGCTTAGCTTCTTAGAGGGCTTATAAGACGTAGTGCATATCTTCTTTATGTTTCTTAAGTGTTGATAAGAAGATGAGGATATTATTAAGATAGACTACTATATAGATATTAATATATTTATATAGAACTTAGTTAATTATATTCTAGAATATTACAGGGATATTAGTGAGGCTGAAAGGTATAATTGTAAGGGGCTGGCCCCTAGGCTTGTTCAACGTAGAGGTGCCGTCGATTGACTATTCTAAGCTGAAGAAGGAGGAAAGGACTTTACAGGGATAGGCGCCTAGCAGCAGTGATGCAGACCGGGGCTAGGCGGTGTGCTACAGCAGAATAGTGGATCCGGCGGAGCCGGATCTCGGTAGCTGCTCCGGCAAAGCCGGAGATCTCGGCCGGGCTCTAGCCCGTTACATAATGAGGTATTTGAAGTATCTTTTTCATATTCTGAAGGCAGTCTTCTATTCTTCTCCCTGCTTTATTCTAATAAGGTTATAAGCTTTTTTGAGGTTGAGAGCTGTAAACTAGTTAGCTTTATAGAGGAGTTATCTTATTTTGTTAATAAGCAGTAGTAGATAGTAATTCTTAATTATTATCTTATTAAATATATAACAATTAATATATAGTTATAACTTTCTGTTTTTCTTAAGTATAAATAGGATTAAACTTCCTATTAGTGATATTAAAGGTCTGATATATCCCTTCTTAAGATTTTTATTAAGATATTTATCTAAGGCTTCTATTTCTATGTAGTTAAGTCTATAGATTTTATTAAATTATAGTTTTTTTCCTTTTTTAAGGGGTATTTTATAGTTGAAACTAATATGTTTAGGCAGTCTGGTTTCTAGCTTAGCTGTAAAGAGTTTCTTATAAACTCTATGTTCTTCTGGGATACATAGAAGTAGATTATTCTTCTATTTAAGATCTATTATTATTAGTGGTTATAACATAGCTTTTTGTTTGCCTTAAGGTAATAGAGGTATTGTTTTGCTGTTCTTTATTATATTGATTTATTTGAGGCCTGGTTCTGATAGGGCTGCTTAGGGACTGAATTATTATGGTCTTAATAGAGTTAGCTTTTGCTTTAATCTATTTATAGGTTGCTTATTTATAGCTAGGGTAATCTTAATACTATATTATATATTTTTAGATTAGTAATTCTCACGGGCTAGAGCCCGGATTGATATCTCCGGCTTTGCCGGAGCAGTTACTGAGATCCAGCTCC